ATCTAATGTCACATACTGCATCTGACAGTTAAAACATACTTACAAAGCCAAAGATGCCCAGTGCTGTGGCTATTAAAAGAGCCTTTGGGGTGTAGTTAGCTCCTGTTAAAACAAGCAAAAAAACTGAAAAAGAATAATCATTGTTTTTCGTCAGTGATTATTGACTAATCACTATATGTTATGAACATGATACATCACAGATCTAGACTGACTGCTAGATTAATCACTTACACAATCACTTACAATCAACACTGAAAAAAAGAGAGAAGAGAATATATACAATAAAATATAAAACAAGAATTAATATGAAACTTCAGAGAACACTGACTTTGCTTCTATTAACAAACAAGAAGCCATAATAAAGAATGCATTTTCATTCTTGAATTAATTAATTACAAATTTCCTTGAATAAATTTTTTTTTCTCGTGTATGCACTGGCGTAAATGTTTTATTTACGAGAGAGAACGTGAGCGAGAGAGAAGGCGCACGCAAGAGAGAGAGAGCGCTCGTGCTATTTCAAATGACGTCACACACATTTAACTGCATTTAATGGTATTCATTTAACTGTCGAGTAAAATATACCATAACTGGCAGTAAAAAAGTCGAAAAACATTGTTCGTGTAAATACTAGATTGGGTTATACTTAGATAGTTATACTTAGATAGTCAGTCAGTTAGGACAATTGAATGAGTTTCATGAAAGCAGCAGTTTTTGAGGAAAACGAACAGTTCCCTCAGACTGTCCAAGTAATAGCCTATAATTAGATTATATATTTACTTTCTTCATATTTTTTAATTTCATAGATATTGGTAATGGTTTACGTTTTAAAAGGAAGTAAAAAAGTACTTACCACAGGAAAACTCGCAGCTGACATCTGGCGATTCACTCAGAAGGGACGTCCGTTATGCGCGCACCGGAAACAAACCTCAGTTTATATAACCTCTGGCAGGTTGTTGCGCGGGCTTTGCACGCAAATAAAATTTTAATTTTGTGGGGTGTAAGCAAAGTTTATATATTTTATTTTGTAATCATTTAAAAAAAAAAAAAAAGTATTTCACCACACTTGTGCTTACCCAGACATTAAATTGAGAATGCAGATTCATGTTTTTCATCTGCAGAACAATTTACAGTAGCACTACTGCTTTTGAGCAAACAGTAAAGTACAGCAAATTCCCATATACAGTAAATGACTGTAAATGGCATAAAAATACCCACAATGCAGTGCATATTAATTACAGTAGTTAACTGTAAAACATATATATGGTAATTTACTGGGCTTTTTTGCGGTAAGTAACTGTAAAATTACAGCAAAGTCTAACAGTGTAGGTGGGCAATGACTGCACTCTATGTCTTACACAATTTTGGTGAGCTAAATCAAAATTATTTTCACTGACAATTCCAGTTAATGCTAGCCATTATGTTGCATGTCAGTAGGACAATGCGGATAATGATTAAATTATACTTACATTCTCCATAATTTAACAAAGGCTACATTTAATTAGTCCTGACAAGCTCCATCTTTTATGAGACAGCATCATGGACTTATTCCTGACAGTGAAGAAGGACAGAGTTAGTCTGCAACAATGTAAGAAACATGTCTTCGCGTTTTGCTTGCACAATTTCACCTACCCACAAAATTTCTACTGATGTGGCACATAGCACTCCTAAAAGAGTGTACCCATAACATCAATAATGAAATGTCAATCAAGTGTATATTGTACTGTATGTGCACCCTCACATCTAAGATGAAACTGTCAACTTCCAAACAACCCTCTTTTGAGAAGATTACCCTTATCAAAATGCAGCAATGGCCCCTGATGTTTGCTGGTCCTCTGAAATTGGGATTGAGAAAAGAACCCCTGCTGAGTCCTCAGTGTGCTTTTGCTGTCAGATGTGACCGGCACCAAGGTGAATGTGAAGAGCTCTTATGTTCCTGTTCTATTAGAGAGCTCTAACATATTCTCCACAACTCATATTGGAATAAGCTAGCTGCCCACTTACCCCCTCGAAACAGCTCAACTGTGGCAGGGGATGTCGCACCTACTGACTGCTTTTGCTGAAATTTTGCCTCTATGCAACTGTGGTTTGAGGGCTCACACTTAACCTAGTGTGCCACTTATCAACTGTTCCACATTTTTTCAATGATTAACACAATCAATCGACAAGCAAAGCGACATGATGCATGTGATGCACTGTGTGTCAGTGGGTGAACTTTATCAGCACCACCAGCTCTGCTCCCTACTGATTTAACAGCCCTATCAGTTCCCTTCTCAAACTCTGGGAACAACCAGTAGTTTGGGGTTTGTCAATGACACTTGGTGACACAGGATCTCATGGGCTCAGGAGTGACCAATGAGCTTCTCACCACCAATTTACCCTGGAGAACCACAGGCAACAAATCATTTCCAACAAATCATTTCTAACACATTTCGGTTCTCTCTCGTCTGTTTTTCCTCTGCAGATGCAAAAGCACATACATTAGCAAAACAGAGACCATTGCCCATGGTGACCATTTACATTCACAAGGTCACAGACACGGTCACGCACCAACCCTTGTTTTTCAAATTATTATTTAAATTAGGTGATACTAAATCCATGGAAAATCTCCAGCTTTAACCAAGGTGGTTTTCTAGACATGCTCAGCTGTTATTTACAGTGTTAAATGTACACAACCACACTCTAAAAAATGCTGGGTTAAATACAACCCAGTGCTGGGTAAAATAGGGACAAACCCAGCAATTGGGTTGTTTTGACCCAGCGGTTGGGTTACTACCCAGAAGGTTGTGTTAAACATTTAACCCAACCGCTGGGTCAAAACAGCCCAATTGCTGGGTTTGTCCCTATTTTACCCAGCACTGGGTTGAATTTAACCCAGCATTTTTTAGAGTGCACAGTTTCTATTAAATGAATTTCAGAATTTCTGAGCGATGGAAATATATTACAATTGACCCTTCTCTAAGCGCCACTCACCCTCCAAGACATCCCATAGGAAAGAACAGGAGATTTCTTTGAACAGTATGATTTTCAGAAAAAATATACCCATAAAGATTGAAATTTACATTTACATTTAGACATTTAGCAGACGCTTTTATCCAAAGTGACTTACAAATGAGGACAATGGAAGCAATCAAAATCAACAAAAGAGCAATGATATACAAGTGCTATAACAAGTCTCAGGTAGCTTAATGCAGTACACATAGCAAGGTTTTTTTTTAATTATATAATAAATAAAAAGAAAACAGATAGGATAGAAAAAGAATAGAGCAAGCTAGTGTTAGAGGCCTTTTTTGCTTTTGTTAATTCTATAATAAATGAAAAGAAAACAAATAGAATACAAAAATATTTGAAAAGCTAGTGTTTTTTTGTAAGAAAACAAGCAGTTAGTAAATGAATAGAGTTTTTTTAAAGAATAGAATTAGAATAGAGATTGCTAGAGTTAGAGGGTCAAATAAAGATGTAAGAGATGTGTTTTTAGCCGATTCTTGAAGATGGCTAAGGACTCAGCTGCTCGGATTGAGTTGGGCAGGTCATTCAAACAGGAGGGAACAGTTAATGTAAAAGTCTGTGAAAGTGATTTTGTGCCTCTTTGGGATAGCACAATAAAGCGACGTTCACTTGCAGAACGCAAACTTCTAGAGGGCACATAAGTCTGAAGTAATAAGTAAATAAATATTTATATTTATATTTATTTATATAAATATAAATATTTCTTAGATATTTTTTATGTATGCTGGAATAAACTGTGACATTAGAACACATTTTTTATCTGTTACTTTCTTTAAATAATTAAATTATGCAGTAACATGATTAATAAAAAAGCTAAAATGACTTGAATCAATGTCAATAAAATAAGACCTTAAATTACCTTGCAGCAAATTGGGTCATGACACAGTTTACCTCATCGCATGAACTTCTTAAGATTTATTTAAAGATTTGGAAAAGGAACAAAATACTACCCAGTAACACCTTTGTTAAGGAGCGAATGGTCAATTCTGATGATGAGAAGCAGATGGAGACTGGGAAGAAATAGACAAAGAATAGGCATGGTAACCAACGGAGATCATTGAAACATTACTGCATCTGGTCATCTAATCTGGCTGCTTAGTGTAGCACAGTGACAGCCCTGATCCTCAATTAGGGCTACAGATAACTATAACAATGAAGCACTCAAGTAACTTTGGGTAATGGGATTATGGTTTGCTTTCTTAGTGCTAATCTCTGTCCACTACTGTGGGAGGGGGCCTGTAAATTGAAACAGCAGACCTCTTTATTGAGTTATTAAAGCTGTTTTGTTCATAAACTTCTTGTATCAAGACACATATTTGCTTGAATTTACACTTCCACTCATTGCAATATATTCAGATTCTTATGATTTGGATTGGTACAAAAAAGCATCAGCTAAGAAGGCTAATAAAAAATCTATTTTGACACACTGCACCTGGTGTTTATAATGTATTTAGCCACTTGTGATGTTGAATTAAATAGATCAAAGTGCATGTGGTTATGACAAAACAATGCCATGCACTCTAGAAATGTCTAATATAACATCTAGCAAAGTTATACACTCAAAATCTAAATTGATGAAAAATTGTTCAAAAATTGTTCTATTGACTCAATTAATTTAAGTTGTTACAACAAGACTAGCTAGGGCTGTTCGATTCTGAAATTTTTGGAATTGAGTCCGATTCCGATTCCTGGTTCTGGAATCGATGGGATTCAATTCTAAGAATCGATTCCTCACCATGGTTTTCGATTCTTTTTCGATCCTTGTTTTTTAGATTGAAGGAACCTAATCTCACCATGACTGCAGGATATAAAGGTTGCAGAAAGTAGCCTTCTCATAATATAAAGCTTTTTTTGTAACAATGACGATACATTTCTATAGCTCTGATTGATTTTTAAATTTTGTCCGCATTGCCCATTAAATTAGTCGTAGCCCACAGCTCAGCAGGGACATGTGTTTATCGCATGAATGGAACAAGACATGAAGTGTCTAAAATAAATGTGCACAGTTCAGCTGAATGATGAAGTTTACTTTAACTGTATGCTTTGCACAAAATTAACAAACTGTACACTGAAACAAAATAACTAGAACATTAACAACAACACTGATATAAGAGTTTGTGGTTTATCTGTCAATCTGATGCGCTCTTGCCACTGATCTGTGCTCTCGATGTATTCTTTCAGAAATATCATTGGCCGATAGAAATATTTAAAAAAAAAGCATTTTATTTAAGATGGAAATAAGATCAAGACCGTCGATCACGTCATGATCTATTCTGTCATGTAGGGCTCAAAACTGTGGAAAACGCAAGCCAGTTCCACCGTAAAATAACCTCAGAATCATTTTTTTAAAACTGGTTCATTAAAACTATCTATCCGAAATAACATTTTTGTGGAAACGAATCAGACTTCTAATCACTTTTAGCGAGCATGAGCTGAATTAATGGGTGCTTCTCAAACGGAAGGCTGCATCCTCAAACTCAGATGAGCATACTGACTCGTTTTCTTTCAGTTTATTTTCGTGAATTTAAGTGTGTGCAGCCTCGTGGTTAGTGCGTCGACATATAGTGCAACTGCGCTCACAGCGACCCAAGTTCGAATCCCGCTTCGAGGTCCTTTGCTGATCCTGCTCCCCTCTCTCCACCCTAACACTTTCCTGTCATCTCTCCACTGTCCTCTCAAAATAAAAAGCACAAAAAGTCCATAAATATAGCTTTAAAAAAATGTGTGCAGCCTTCCATTTGAAAGGCACGATAAGCTTTGTTGAACTGAAAAAGGCTACGATTCCACATTTGTATGGAATAGATTCCAACCTTTGGAATCGACTCTCGATTCCCAACGCCTCTGAATCTATTATTTTTGGAATAGATTCTTCTTTTTTTCTTTTT